AAGTACCTATATATATTGTTTGGAATATGTTGTTTACATATTTAAAATTTCATGTGAATTGCTTTTGTTTTGAAAAATTATACATGTTTATATTATATAAATAATATTCCAAAATTTTTTGCACCATACTATATAATAATATATGGTAATCCAGAAATAAGAATATAATCTTTCAAGAAAAAATTCTCAGAATTACTTTATAACAAAAAAAATTAATAAAATTGATCACACACACTTTAAAAAATTATTTACTAATACAATACAATAACAAATCAAATCTATAACAATTTCAATTCACACCCTAACATATTCTTCTCAAATATTTTTTTTAACTGTATTTTACTAATTAAAAATTTATATTCATTAGATTTGAATGAAAAATTAAATTACTAAGAAAGTATTGACCCCTAATTCAATAAATAGTTACTTCTAAAATTTTGTCAAATTAAGATTTTTATAGAATATATTTACTTATAAACAAGTCAATATTTATAGTAACATTTTTTAATATATTACTATTATTGTAAATTTTATACTAAGTTTTCTTTTGTAAAAATTGAATCAACAATTAAAGTGTATTGTAAAAAAAAAAAAAAAACTTATAGTAAATTCAATAATAACTTGATACCAAAATAATATTATTAGAAATCTTAGTTATATATAAAGATAGATTTCTAAAGCAAAAAGTGAATCTGTACCTGGTTTGAATCATGAGATAATAGTTACATGACAAGTCAATGTAAAATCCAACATATGTCATGTAACCATAATACAAAGATATTGAAATATTTTGACTTTTTTATTAATTTTGAACATAGCATTTTTGTATATGCACTTAAAAAAACTATTTTAGACCATTATTTCTAATAAAGCTTGATTTAAGTTATGTAAGTATTTTTTTCGATATTTTTTTTTGTAATGGCATAATAGATTTATCTAATTCCTTTATCATAGCTTTATTAACTAGCAAGTTCTTCTTAGGTTCTCCTTACTGCACTTTTCCAAGTTTTTGGCTTAAACCCTTTCTATGTCATGAGACACCAGTAACCTGAATCTGTATTCTCTTTCCACCACACTAATAACTATTATGATTAATCCAACCTATACATGTGGTGTAAATTATTTTGCTGTTAACTCAATTCCCAAAATCCTCAAATATAATTGTATCATGACTCAATTATTTATATGTTTTAATAGTGACTCAATTAATTGCGTCAAATAATTACATCAATTGTGTCAAAGATCTATGAATTTCAGCAACATGTATAGTCCAAATATAATATTACAATAAAACTTGATGTCATGTTACATATCTTCATATATAAATTAATAAATAATAATACATAGTATTTCTATTTTAGATAGACCCATAGGTCTATAGCTTAGTGGTAAAGCTCCATAGGTTACCAGGTGAAGGTTTAAAGTTCAAACCTACCTGGTTATAAAAATTTATCACAATTTCTTCTTAATTAGGCTGCATGAAGATAGAACTTTTGACCTTTCTAGTGTTATAGGATTACAATAGACCATATAAGAAAAGGATTGTATAAAGAAAGACTTTTGGTCTAATTCCAGTTAAACCCCACAATATGTTACACAAAACATTACGTCAAATTTGGATATACAGACTGGGCTGTATTCCATATTAACCAATCTCGTTCGTCCATATAGAGGCTAATCCTAATCAATAAAGGTCGCACAAAAAAATATAACCAGGATATATTGGATTAATCACTTCAAAAATGGCTATCCTGCATCTACACAGCTCTATAACCTGCTAGAAGTTAGTGCAATCTGGATCAGTGGCCCATTGGAAAAGAATAGGGCCATTAAGTTGAAATGGAGACTGCCGGAAAGGTTTTTATTTGTAAAGACAAAATTTTCCTTACCCTTGTTACTAATAGTATTGATCAAACTAAGAGGCCAATGAGGTGAGCCACTTTAAAAGTGTAACCTGTCTCGTTGGACACGAACTAAAAAAGGTTGATAGGCTAGTATTTAATTGTAGTTATATATTACAAAGGATGGTTGATATAATAAGTATTGAATCTCAATAAAAAATTTGCATCTAATATCGTTTAATCTTAAAAAAAAAAAAAAAAAAAAGTATTTCTATTTTAGATTGGATTTCACAAAATCTAGACTTGAACCCAATTGAACACTTGTGGGATCATCTTGACCACCAGATTTGAAAAGAAAACTTTTTCCTAAATAAAAGCAAGATTTAATCAGAGTTGCACAAGAAGAGTAAGCAAATATTTCTATAGAAACTTTATATCATCTAATTTTAAGTACATATTTCAAAGCATATTAAAAATATTATTAAGGTTAAAGGCGAACATATTAAATATTAGTTTTCTATCTTTCAAGATTTTTTTTATTAAAAATAGAATATGTTTTTTTTGATACTATAGAAAATGTTTTTGTTATTTTTTCGTTATTATTTATCACATGATAATTTCCGGTAATTTATGTTAGGGGTGTGTACAGTATATATGTATATATTTATTGATTAATTAATTTTTTTTTTTATAAATGGAAATACGTAATTGTTTTGGTAACGTGATAAAATATTAACCAAACTCTATACAAACTCTCCATTACACGTAATATGACAACGAACGAAGAGTGCACGCGGCTGCGTCAAGAATTGAATTCAGTTCGTTCGTTTTATGGTAAGTGAAGGGTGATATTGAATCACACAGGAAATCTTGTAACCTCCATATTTGATTTCAGAACAAAGATTGCAGGATTCCAATACGAGATTTAAAAGGTTACAGAGATTCAGCGAAAATCAAAAGCATCAGTTAGAAGAAATTCGGCAGAATGTGACCCAAGCAGGTAATTCGAAGGCTATAAAAAAAAAATTTTTTTTTTAATTCTTATTCCCTTTTTTTAGTGCTTAACTTGTGTGATTCGTCTTGTAGAACAGGAAAAAACCAAAGCCATAAATGATTGTAATGCGGCAAATGATCGATTAGATAAGCTACATTTAGAATTAGCTTTTATGGAAAGGAGTCTGGAAGAGGAAAAGGAGAGCAAACGCTCCCTTATGAATTACAAAGATCAGGAAATAAGTCAGTCAAAAGGTACATAAATTAAATTAAATCGGCATCATCGATAATATGCTAAAAAGTTTCTTCGTTCAACGAAAGACACAATCGAGCAAATAACGGTTTTACGGTCACAATTTCAACAGCAAATATTCGAATTACAAAATGAACTGCAATCCGTAAAAATGACCGAATATCAGTGGAAGGTTGACTATCGATAAACATTTCCTACATCTTGCACGGAATTTGCTTAGTATATGATTTAATCCTTATTTTTGAATTCAGAATAAACTTACAATAGCAGATGCAGAGAAGGAGTCACTTAGGGCCCAAGTAACCTCGATGGAAAATGATGTAAAGCAATGGCAAAGCTTGATCAAAACTACATCGGATAGTAAGGTTCGGATCGTATATTTTGGATAAAAGAAAAATCAACAATCAGATGCTTGACATTATTTCATTTTTCGATTTTAACAGAATGCGGAAATAGATTCTTTAAATTCGAAAGTCGAAAATTTGTCGATTGAGCTTGAAAAGGTTCG